GATGGATAGATGGATGGATGGATAGATGGATGGATGGATAGATGGATTGATGGACAGATAGATAGATGGATGGATTGGTGGACAGACAGAACTATATAGAATACAAGTTCAAGAAAGAGTAAGAAAAATATGATTGCAGTGAATAAGGGTAGTATGGTAAGGTTGGACTGGAGAGCTCCATTTGGTTAAAAACTACCCTTTGAATCATAAAAATATAGTAAAGTGGGCAGTCCTTTTATTGGGTTGATCTTCATTCCTTCACAGAATGGGAATTACTTCAGTAGAGTTACAAGGAAGAGACATGCAATCATCCAAATAGGCCCACACATTTGTCTTATTGTAGTGGTGCAGATGTTAGACCAGGATTGGGAAGGTCAAGTCTACTCTCATCCATGAAAATTCCTGTGTGTGTGTGTGTGTGACTTGGGCCGAGTTAATCTCTCTCAGCCCAACCCAACCTACATGGTTGCAGGAAAAAGGAGAAGCAGATCCAGCATGCACCACTTTTTGCTCCTGGAGGAAGGACAGAATATAAACCTAACAAAAGTAATCAATAACGATTATTTAATAAATGTCCTGATGTTTTTCAAGAGGACGTTGTTTTCCCCAAAACAGTATACTTTGGCCCATGAAATCGGCTGAAGTCATCAAACAATTAAAATAACAGCACAAAGTTGGCCATCGGATGTCGTTCAAGCTCAGCCAATCAACCTGCAAAACCAAGAACGAATTCATGCAGGTCATATTCTTTCCATGCAAAGGGTCCAGAACAAAGCCATATTTAGGGCCTATCTGTCAATCAACGTATCAAACAAACAAACAGAAAAGGAGCTGATTTTATTTCCCGAAGAGGAAATGTCATTGTTAAAGGCCTATCCCTTAAAAGATTCCACCTCATAATCTTCCAAACAGAGTATCTACCAGAGTGGTAAAAAAAAAAAAAAGTCAAAATGGTGACACACATTAAAAAAAAAAAAAAGGAAACGCCCTCATAATCTATAAGGTGTCTGTCTCAAGGAGGGGGTTGGACTAGAAGACCTCTAAGGACCCTTCCAAACTTATGATTCTATGATTATTTTAAAATTGTAACACATACACATACCCATGAATGCCTTGACAGCCAAATCTTTCCTCCTTCTTCAAGCCAAGCTAGTAATTTTTCTCAAACCACTGTATGCTCCATATATGCCGTAAATAAAAGCTAATGCATAGGGTCTGAAAGGCAGTCATTATCTTAAAAGTCCTATACTTCTTTTTCAGAGGGTCCATTTCTAACAGGGGTGTATACAAGCATTTTTTAAAAAGTGCTTGTGCGAATATGTATACAGGCAGGTTTTGTTATGATCAACTGAATAGTGCAGGCCTTTTAACTACTACTGTCAAAATGAGTCAAAGGGTTTTCTGTTGTTTGCAGTGACTAAGTTGACTAATGATAATTAAATGGTGAGGTTTAAGTAGAAGACAGAGAAGGTATGAGGGTTTTTTTTAAAGATGATGTTTGAGTGGAATCTCATACTGTATGTATTTAACTATTATCAGTGGCCTGTCTGTCTGTCATCTATCATCTATCTATCTACCTACCTATCCATCCATCCATTCCTGTCTCAACATTTGTTATTTAACTTCTCATGAACTCAGAGGTTGGTCTTAAAACTGAACCCTATTTGTGTGGGAAACTGGGTTTGTCTTCTCTGCAAAGCCAATAAGCCAATCCTATTGAGATCTTAAAATTGTACTGCTGCTAAGCATGCATTAACTTCTCCCTTCCTTCCTTCTTTCCTTCCCTCCCTCCCACCCTCCTTCCTTCCTTCTGTCCTTCCTCCCTCCCTTCCCTCCCTCTCTTCCTCCCTCCCTCCCTCCCTCCTTCCTTCCTTCTGTCCTTCCTTCCTCCCTCCCTCCTTCCCTTCTCCTCCTTCCTTCCTTCATTATTTCTTTCCCTCCCTTCTTTCCTTCCCTCCCTCTCTGCTCCTTCTCCTTCCTTCTTTCTTTCCCTCCTCCCTCCCTTCATTCCTTCCTTCTTCCCTCCCTTCTCCTCTGCCCTTCCTTCCTTCCTTCCAAAATAAATAAGATCTAAAGGACTGGTTCTCAATATGCAGATGATTTGTTCTAAATATTGAAGGGTTGTGGGGTCAAAATAGAGTTGAATATGCAGATGATTTTTTTCTAAATATTGAAGGGTTGTGGGGTTCCCCCCCCCCCCACCATTCTAAACTCATTTGGGACTGGGCATGTCCACCCCACCACCACCCAGACGTTGCAGCTGATCTCTGCAGGGGGATTATTTATGTCTCCTCTTGACATGTGATAATTAAACGTAGTCCAGGAGAAGCAGGGGAAGACTTCAGAGGCTTTTTCCTAGCAGTTCTTGAAAGCTCGCTTCAGGCCTTTAACGCATGAGCACCAGTCACAGCAAGGGCTGATCTCCCATCAGCTGAATGAGAACCTCCTAGAGATCCACTTGCAAGATCTATGGATCTGTAGGTGGGGTCAGACAGGGGTGTCCAGTGGGGGAAGGGCAGGGAGTCGGAAAAGTGGGGAGAAAATGGCAGCTCGGTGCTACCATTATCTTGGCATTTCTTTTAATCCTACCCTCCACGGATCCCCCCTGCAGCCAAGACCCCCTGTGGAAGGGATTTCAAAAGATCTCCAAACAAAAATCTGTGGATCCTTTAGATGCCCCCAATCTTAGCAGAAGGGGAGGCTTGGCACGAAGACGCAACCTGAACCCCAAAATGCATTCAAAGGGAAAGGGGTCACCTACGTGTGAAGAAGGAAAAAGGGAATTTTACAGAGGTGGGAATCCTTATTTGTCTTCGTGACAGGATGCGCAAGTTCACCGCCCCTCCAGCTGGCTCCCAGAAAATTACACTTAGCATCCCCGCCTCTGTAAGATGTCATGAGAATTATTGAATAGGTCCGGGGTGGGGGGTGGGGGGTGCACTTCATTTGCATAGCTCCTCCCCTCATAGTACAATGGGAAGGCTCTGGCCTTGCAAACCAAGCTGTGCTTGGTTGAGAAGTCCACTCTATGCCTCTCTCCATCATAATCCTGCCACTCTAGGCTTTCCCCTTGTCTCCTACCAGACAGCAAACGATGTTTCACTGCAATTGGAGATACCCAACTTTTCTTGGGCCTTGGCATTTTGGATGCCTTGCCATTTTTGTTTCCACCCACCCACCCACCCCCCTGACTATCTTCTGCAAACTTAGCCTTGCTCATCTCTCCCAATTGTGCGTGATTGTTGTGACTTTTGACTTCTTTCCACCAATGGGATGGGCAGCCTGAATGTGAGAGAGATTGGTACGAAATGCTGCAGTATCGACAGAGGATGGAAAGTTGATGCAGGATGGGTCAGAATGCAAATGAGTATTTTAATATCTGAAACCCTGTGCAGCTCGCTGGGTCTCTGACAGATAGGCAGTCCTCTGGAGTCTTCACACTCCCTTGAGATTCCAGCTCTGCTGGAATTGATTTGCAAAAGCACACCGACACCCAGCCACCAGCTGCTCTTCGCCTGGGGTGGCATGTTAAGAGAACGGAATCGGCAAGGAAAATAACAATTCCGCGTTGGCGAGAGACCTTCTTTGGATGCATGGTACGTACTGGGCCAAGTCAAGCTTGACTGGATCTCTGCAGAGTTACGTCTGACTGTGACGGGTTCTGCTTTTCGAGTCTTCAAACCCAACTCAAGTGAAAATCATGGGGGAGGTTTCCTTCCCAACACATCTGGAAGGCAGCCTATTGGAAGCCGTTATCCTAAATGTTAGGAGAAAGGATTATTGAATGGAGATTGCACTGGTCTGTGGAGCTGAGAGATATGGCTTGTTGTCCATATCTATGGCCCAGTTTAGAGTTAGCACCAGCAATGGCATTTACCGCTCCATAGTGCTTTACAGCACTCTCTGAGCAGCTTACAGTGTAAGCATTATTTGCACATCGCCCCCAACAATCTGGGTCCTCATTTTACCCACCTCGGAAAGATGGAAGGCTGAGTCAACCTTGAGCCAGTCAGGACTGAACTGCGGACAGTCGGCAGAATCAGCTTGCAATGCAGCATTCTAACCACTGCACCACCAGGGGAATAGGAATAGGAACAAGAATAGAACAGAAATGGAATGGAATGGAATGGCATAGCACTTAGACCTATATACTGCTCCATAGTACTTCACAGCCCGCTCTAAGTGGTTTGTAGAATCAGTATCTTGTTCCCAACAATCTGGCTCCTCATTTTACCAACTTCGGAAAGATGGAAGGCTGAGTCAACCTGGAGCCAATCAGGATCGAACTGCTGCATTCTAACCACTGCACCATCACAGCTCTTACTACAATATTATCCGTTTGACTTAGGTACCTCCTTATTGCAACTCTGGACTGCTAGAAGAGAAGGCCGATCCTACCAAAATTCTCAGAGTAATGAAAAGGAAAAGAAAAATCAATGTCCAACCCACTTCATCAAAGCCCCTCCTCTTTCCTTTTTTTTTTTTTACACGTGTCACATATAAAAAAGAAGAGGTCTTGATCTCGGAGTTTCAGCCACCTTGAATTTTTTTTTACCTTGCTCCTGATTAGAATTTGGACCTGTTAAGACAGACTCTCTCTCGCTCTCTTAAACCAAGATCCTGCTCCAGGTTTCCCCACCATTTCAAGCCAAAAAGAAAGACCATGACAGATTTATTTTATTGGGAAATAATGTAATTCTTCTGGAAAAATTACAAGGAATGTATCAGCCATTTATACTTGGATGCTGCTGTGAAGCCTTTCTCTGATTAAGAAGCACTGACACCCACTTGCAGATCAAAATTGACTTCATCGAGAGTGATGCTCTTAGCCCTAATTAGCTTTGCTCTCTGCCAATACAGTTGTGGCATAGCCAGTTGCGATCAAGGAAAAGCGCATGCTAATTTTTAAAAGCAAGGTTCCATTTTCCCCCCCCAATATCTCCAAACATTAATCATTAAAGGATGCAGAATAGTTTAATTGTGTGTGTATTTTTTGCATAATTTCTTGTGATTTTCTCATCGCAGTAGCTACACTGGTGCATTTTTTTTTTTTAAAAAAAAAGCAGAGACTCACACCACTGTAGCTTAAATGTACCCCACAGTTTAAAGTTCACACTTCATATTGGGTGAGTTTCTCTACTAACTTATTGCTATTTATCTTCGTGTTTGTTAAATAGGCTGCCCGTCAAAATATCCCAAGGCGTATACAAAGCTTTGCTGCCCGATAATTTTAAATAATCCAATAAGAAGCTCAAAGGAAAATTAATCTATCAGCCAGAAACTAAAATCCTTCCAGCATTAGTTCAGCGCGCTGTTTCTTCTTGGGGAAGCAGTCTTCCTTCAGCAAGATGGGTGACATATAAGTTTGATTAATAAACTATTCCACAAAATCTGGTTAATTATCGCAGCAAATGGATGAACATGGAAACTAAGTAAGGTTGTGTCTCATTAGAACCCAGATGAGAGTATCCAGGTTGATTAGAAGGTCAAAAAAAAAAAACATGCTAAGAGAAATCTTTAGGATCATTTCTAGGAGAGTCACTGCTCAAGCAGGGGGTTGGACTAGGAGACCTCTAAGGTCCCTTTCCAACTCTATTATTCTATGTTCTAAGCTTCAGCATCCTCTGAATGTTGTTGCTTTTCTCAGCGTGACAAAAACAGTCTTGTGACATCAACTGCAAGCCTGGAGGGCGAGTGATTTTGTAACCCGTGTAGAAAAGGGACGGGACTTGGTATTACAATGCCCCAATTGTTCTTTCCTCAACCTGGTCCTCCCTTTGTGGACACCTCTACCTGGAAGTGTCCATAAAATCTCCAGGCGCTGAGTTTGACTTGATCAGAGATAGTCAAAGTCTTTTCACGCGGCAAGGTGAGAAATAACTGCTCTGCACTTAGGAGGCAATTCCATAGTTGAGGTATCTCCACTGAGGAGGACCTAGTGGATTCACATCCTGTAGGCCAGAATCAAAATGGGACCGCAAACAGGGCTTTTGAGGACATGGCTCAACCCAACAGTTGGTTGGCAGAGGAGAAAACAGAAGGCGTTCCTGACTGTGATTGACGCCCTGCCCTTGTTTTGACAAAAGATGCCACATGCCAAAAGGGCTGGGCCCTCCATCACATGGTCACAACAACCATTTTGACTATTTTTTTGACTTCCCTTGAGGAAATGCCCTTCCGGAGCCTCTGCGACCATCGTTTTCACAGGTTTTATTGTTGACGCAGATGCTGCCTTCACTCCTCTTGAGTTTTGAAAGCTTATTTCGATAGGTTCGCTCGGTATTTGAAAAGAGCCTCTTCTCAATGGCTTTGACAACAGACCTGCAGGGTGGGAAGAAAAGCTAAATAACGTATAAAGACATTAAAATGATTGCACGGTAGGAAAATTGATTTTCAAAGCTAATATTTGAATGCCGGGTCTTTCCCCCGCTTCGTGCCATTGCAATTTCACATGCCTGTTGGAATTGTATTTGCTTGAAATATAATAAATTAAGTGATTTCCAGTTCTTCTTGCCCTCAGCTGCTGCTTTTTGGTAGCAAAACTATATCTACACTTAGTCACGGTGGAGCAGTGGCTAGAGTGCAGTACTGCAGGCTACTTCTGCTGGCTGCCGGCTGCCTGCAATTTGGCAGTTTGAATCTGAACAGGCTCAAGGTTGACTCAGCCTCTCATCTTTCTGAGATTAGTAAAAATGAGGAGCCAGATTGTTGGGCCATATTTGTAAATTGCTTAGAGAGGGCTGTAAAGCACCGTGAAGCGGTATTGCTACATAACAGGAATCTTCTCAAGTCAGCTGTGGTTCACCCAGACCATCTACCCAATGAGTTAAGAGTGTACCCCCAATCCAAATAAATTAGCATGACATAAAAGGATTCTGAGAAGTACCATCCACTCCATCTGTCTGGAGAGGGAAAGAAACGTGGTTCCTGGTCTTCAGAAATCTCCCGTTTCATTTTTCTTCTTCCTTTCTTTCTTTTTCAGGCAACCAATAAGGATGCAACTAAGATCAGCGTAAGTACCTATCAAAATGCATGCATGCGGGGGGCGGGGCATCTGCATGGGGTTGTCTGTCTAAAATATTGCAGTGGTTCCTTGAGGTTAGGTTGACAAAGAGGCGCCCAAATGCAGCAGAAGTTAATTCAAGACGTTTGGAAACGAAGGCCTTTCTATCCATTCGTTGCACGCTCATTATCAATTAACAGGGAGGCCGTTATAATCAGCTAATTGCACTGCTAATAGAGCAGAGTCTGTCTTTGGCATAAGGATAGGTGCGGTGATGGGATCGGAACATTTTTACTACCGGTTCTGTGCGTGTGGCTTGGCTTGGTGGGTGTGGCAGGGGAAGGATACTGCAAAATCTCCATTCTCTCCTCTAACCTGCTTTCCAGCTCGGTTCTCCTGTGCAGGGCAGCCAAAGGAGACCCAGCCGATCAGCTGGGACTCGATGGGAGGCAGAGAAGAGATGGGGTTGGCGGGGCCAGTCAGAGGTGGTGTTTGCCAGTTCTCTGAACTACTCAAGGTGCTACTGCTGAGGACCAGATTATTTATACATTTAGAAGGATAAAATACTCTCTCCTTTCTAAGCTTGTACCACTTCCGAGATGTAGATGGGAATTCTACGTATTTGGATGAAAATGGTTGGGTTTTGTTTCAATGGGAAAAAAAAAATCTCCCCATTAATGGAGAAAAGAGGACACATTAACAGGAAACGGCCCCATTGTTTTGACTATGATCCAAAGGCATCCTTTTCATCGGAGTCTGCTAAAGTTCCATCTTAAAGCTTAAAGTCTGAAGCGGATAATTGGGGAAACGATAGGATAGATACAGAACACCATAGAACTAAGGTTTAGCCTATTTCCCCAAAATACAATGATCTGTGCTGTTTGGAGGGGATAAGTTTAATGGATAATCTTAATACCTCCAACAAGCTATTCTTTTATTCTCTCCTCTTTCTTTCTTTCTTTCTTTCTTTCTTTCTTTCTTTCTTTCTTTCTTTCTTTCTTTCTTTCTTTCTTTCTCCTCTCTCTCTTCCTCCCTCCTTCCCTCCTTCCTTGAATCTTCCTTGATGTTCCTATCTTCCTATCTTCCTCCCTTCTTTTCTTTCTTTCTTTCTTTTCTTTTCTTTCTTTCTCTTTCTTTCTCCCCTCTCTCTCTCTTCCTCCTTCCTTCCTTCCTTGTATTTACCTTCCTTCCTATCTTCCTATCTCTGTCCCTTCTTATCTTTCTTTCTATCTATCTTTCTATTTCCCTTCTTTTGTTTTCTTTCTTGCTTTTTCCTTTCCTTTTCCCTTTCCTTTTCTCTTTCTCTCACTCTCTCGCACGACAACTACATAATTGATATACTCTAATGCCAATTTTACATTTGTGGTGTGTGTCATTCTGGTTTCCAAACCGGTTTCTCTTCTTCTAATAAAATGATCCCAAACACTTTTGGGCCTGCTGGGTGAGCTAGCAGGGGTTTGTCCTGTGGCTGATTGCACCTTAGACTTCAGAGGTTAATCCATCGTTCACCCACCTCTGTCAAGTTTATTTTAGACTATATTACAATGGAACTATGCTCGTTCATTTAAAATACCCTTCTGTTATATATCACCTACTCTTTGTCCCTACTTTAAGGTGCAGCTTAGTCATGCTAGCTGAACCCTGCCAGACCATGCTTGTTAAGTTATGAGCTATTCAAATGCAGGTATAATAATAATGATGCCCTCAAAAAATTGAGGTATGCCATTTTTTTTTCATCTGAAGACAACAGAAGCAATGTAAGATCCAGGTTTATTTGGAGAGCAGCTAGGCAAAAATCTAGATTTTATTTTACATTTACATTTCATTAAATTAATTGAATGCAGTTGAAATGTTACACATGGAACAGGGTGAAGCCTCAACTGAATTGGTCTCTTCTAGCTGTGTGATGCTATCGTTCTGTGATTTCCCCCAAAGTATTTCCATTTTTTCCTTTCTTCCTTTTTTTTTCTTTTCTCTTTCCTCCTCTTTCTCCTTTTCTTTTCCTTTTTTTTTCTTTCTTTTTGGATGAGAAAAGGGAGGGAGTGAGGGATTGGCTGGATGAGATTTTTGTGAGCTTTTGCAAAGAGGATTAAATGCAGACCCTGTATTGGTACTTTAATGAGGAGAGGAGAGCCCTGGGTTTTTAGTCTGGGGAACAGAAGCACAGAATGAGTGTCTGGATGTGATTGGATCCCTTTCTTTCTGTAAAAGGATGAAGACAGGATTAAGAAAGCCCAGCACGTTGGGGCTGATATTTTGACAGGTGATATATTTTAAATGCATTGTTGCTGGAAAGGGGAATGGCTAGGATTAACGGCCGGCTGTTGACTGTAGTAGAGAGATGCATTTAATTAAGGAAAGAAGGAAATGGAATTAGTAGCTGATTTCGGAGGAGAGAACCGGTGCTTAGAAATAGTCACTGTGGGCTGGAAAAATAGAAATGGACATAAGCAAAGACTAACAATGGGAAGGCATTTCATTGGGGAGAAGGGCAATTCAATTTGGAAGACGAAGAGCACCACTGAAAGGCTCCATATGTTAGCTTAAACTAGAAGAATCAAAGAACGATTTGATTTTAAGGCATGGGGTTTTTTTTAGTAACCCCATTGTGAACATTGCTTGGTTTTTGGCCTCTGTAAATAAACCAGTCTTGGCCATTTTCAAATCTTGATTCGTGCCTTGAGGCAATGAGGGAATGTGTTTGTCATCTGTTTCATAAATCACAATAAAACAAGCCAGGGCTTAGTATAATATGTAAACCTAAAATGTAACAAAGAGGAGAAGTAAGGTAGAAGCTCTTTGAGAAGTCCCACCTTGGAAATCCTGAATTAGGTTCTTTCTTGTGTTAGGACCATTTATAGTCCTGGGAGAGGGGATGGAAGAGTTTTTGCACATGATCAGGGCATTTTTTTGTGGAATGCATTCGCGTTTTCAACTTTTCTGATATACTAAAAGAGAGTCTGAGATTGCAAAGCTGTTTGTTATAGCTTTCAGTGAAATTCAGGTTAGTGCTACAAATCCTTCTTTGATTTATCCATCCAGGAAGGTGGATTTAGATCTTCATCCACTGAATGCCAACCTCCTTGAAGCAATAATCATTTGCTGTGGTCAGGAGGATGGGGGGAGGGGAGAAGAGAGGGTTTAAAATCGAGGAGCAGATATGAATGCCCTATGACGACGGAAACGTTCAAGAAAAATCCCTAATTATATAGAAAGGATGGCAAAGTTTTCAATCAGGTTTCCTGGAGAGCCTCATACATTGAGTTGGATCATGTGTGCAAAATGCCGGAAAGGCTATTATAGAGTGATTTGAGATGCACTGCTAGAAGCTATCTTATTTTCAGATCATGTGATTACAGGATGTGGATCAGAAGGTGGATTTTGCGGAGGGATTTATCGTATCGTTCCATAAAATGGCGGGGAATTTGAGAATTAAGAGTGCCAATCAAATGAGAAGGAAAGAGGGTGGAAATAGAAAGAGGGATTGCATTATGGAAGGGCCACTTCTGTAGATATTAGCAAGACTAACTTTATTTCTTGCTACCTCTTCCAGCCCTTGAGACCATCCTACTGTATGATTAGTAGATCTTTGGTCCATGAAATGGACTTTGAATTGCACAACATGTTGCCTGACTGCTTAATTGTCTCGCCTCATTAAATCTTCTTTAGATTTGACTGCACAGAGCGATTTATAACTAAGAGAAAGCTATGGGGAAATAAGGCCATCTCACCGTCTCAGCCACAAAAATAGAATACGGACTAGAACAAATGCATTGTGGGATGAGCTGCAAAAGGGGAAAAGGGTCACAGCACAGAAGAGGAGGAGCTAGAGACAACTTGGTACGAAATGTCATGCCTGGGAGATTCCATGGGAGCTCCGGTCCAATGCTCAACATATGATAGCTTCAAAAAGATCTAATAACCAATGGGTGATCAGCCATTGGAAGCCCATCAGTGCGGTTCCCACTAGAGTGGTTTGGACTCCAAGATCCATAAGCCCCAAACATTGCACAGTCCAAAATATCTGGACGGTGCTGGACTGAGGAGGGCTACAGGGAAGAGGGTTCGTGGTTAGAACTGTATCATGTAGGCCTGGGAGGAGTTGGCGGAAGCTGCTTCTCTCTCTCTCTCTCTCTCTCTCTCTCTTTCTCTCTCCTTCCTTCCTTCCTTCCTTCCTTCCTTCCTTCCTTCCTTCCTTCCTTCCTTCCTTCCTTTGCATGTTGCTGGGATGGGAAGGTGGATTTACTGTCCACAACCTGCAGGTTTCATCTGGCCTCTCCCTAAAGGAAGAGTTTTTATCTGCTGTCTGCTATGAAGCAAATCCCCTCAAGCAGAAATAGGCGAAAACACCTTTGGGCATTAGGGGTGAACATCAGTGGGTCTTGCTTTGGCTCTTGTAGTTTTCTCCTTGGCTTAAAGGTGGAGAGTCCAGAGAGAACGAGAGTCACCCCAGACCTTCCCTCTTATGTCACCACTGTTGCTCCCTTTCCTCTTTCCTAATCTGTCCTTCTCTGTCCACAACCTCGACAGGCGAGTGTAGAAAAGTCTCCAAGGAAGAGCTAACCCACCGACGGCTGGCAGAGACCTTGCCAATGCTTGGTGCCCAACGGCCCGCTCACCCCCCGCCCCCCAACAACCCCACTCCCGCAGCGGGTCCACCGCGCCTAAATAACGTCTCCTCTCTCCTCTTTCCAGACGGTGCGCGTCCAGGGCAATGACATTTCACACCGGCTGCGGCTGTCAGGGGTCCGGCGGCAGGACGAAGGCATCTACGAGTGCCGGGTGTCGGACTACGGCGACGAAGACACCCAGGAGCATAAAGCCCAGGCGGCCTTGCGGGTCCTGGCGCGCTTCTCGCCTCCCGACGTGCAAGCGGCCGAAGCCGTCTCGCACATCCAGAGCAGCGGCCCGCGGAGAAGCAGCCCGCCCGGGCGAGCCACGGCCGAGCCGGGCTTGGGAGACAAGCGCCTCCTACCGGCGCAGGGCGAAACTGCCGCTGCGGCCGCGGCTTCCTCTTCCCTCTCTTCCTCGTCTTCCTCCTCCTCTTCTTCTTCTTCTTCTTCTTCCTCGGCGTCTTCGGAGTCCGCCGCCGCCTCTTCCTCCTCTTCCAGCCCCGCGACTGTGGCGGCGGCGGCGGCGGCGGCAGCAGCCTCGTCGGCCTCGCCTCGGCCGGCCTCCGCGATCGTCCTACTGCAGCAGCGAGGATCAGGTAGGTGGAGCCGCAGCGACACCCGGCGGGGAGTGGCGGAAGCGCAGGGAGCTGTCCGTGGTGCTGAGCGCCGGCTCGACCGGGCGGCCCACGGGAAGCTCCTTGCTCGGGGCTGTTCAGCAGGAAGACTCGCTCCATTGGAGTTCTACTTGAGCTCGTCTTTTTGTGACCCGTAAAATCCTCCTTTGGTGGTTCAGCTGAACATTCCTCTCGTTTTTTTATCTGGTATGCTCTTCTATCAAAGCACAAGGCAAGACGGGATGTTGCCCACCATCTTAGGAAATGGGTTAAGCTGGGAAGAGAGCAATTGACTCAAAGGTCTATGGAGATTCTCAATCATCCAGGTCATGGTTGTCCCAAAGGTGCCTTTTCAAGAGGTAACTGGGCTTTCTGGTTTTTCTTTGAAGACATTTCGCTTCTCATCCAAGAAGCTTCTTTGGCTTCTTCCATTCCCCACCATCCATCAGAGTTGAAGACGCTTCTTGGATGAGAAATGAAACACCTCCAAAGAAAAACCAGAAAGTCCAGTTCCCTCTTGAAAAGGCACCTTTGGGACAATTGGCCCAAAGTTGCCCTCTGAGTTGTGGTGGATTTGGGTGGAACCTGGGTCTTCTAGTCCAACATTGTAACTATAACTCACCTTGATTCTCAGTATGGTCTCAATATATTTTTCCCAATAGCCTTCTGTTCAGATAGGAAGATGTTTTCTTCCCCAGATTGCCTTGCATTAAATTTCAAAGAATTTAGCCTGATGAAGAAAGGAAATATTTAAAATGAAAAGGCCAAAAAATTGGGCATTGCTTCTGGTGTATTATTGTGTTTGGGTCATGTACGGAAATGTGATTGGATGGGGTTTTAAGACTTTGAGTAGATTTCTGAGTATTTCTTTCAATGAAGTTCTTATACTATGAATATTACCGTAGAAAACCTCTTAGTTGGTCCAAGAGAAACCTTTGTATTTCCCACAGCTGGATAGTAAGTGAATGTAATGCTTTAAAAGGTCAACTGAGTACTTGCCTCCCTAGGACTCACTATAGAAACAATATAGACTCATTGTACAAAGAAAACTCTATCACAAATTATTATATAAAGCATTTCCCCAAGGCACTATGTAGCATTAACCAGTAATAGTAACAACAACAGCAGAGAAACCACTTTGCTCTTTCATAGAACTTATTGCAACAGTTCTGTGGATTTATTTTCAAATATCGGTAAGATCATAATTATAAGACATCACTCTATTTGAATGTATATTCATGTAATTCCCCATTTTCCCCCTCCATATTTATAATACAGGTAGCCCTTGACTTACAATTCATTTAGTGACATTCAAAATTACAACAGCACTGAAAAATGTGACTTATAACCGTTTTTCATAATTACAACCTTTGCAGCATTCCCATGATCATGCGATCAAAGTTTAAATGCTGTCAAACTGGTTCACATTTATGACCTTTGCTGTGTCTCAAGATCATGCGAACCCCTTTGGTGACCATCTAACAAGCCAAATCAAGGGGGAAGCCTGAACAACCCGCGTTGCTAAGTTGACAACTGCAGTGATTCACTTAACCATTGGGGCAACGAAAGTCATAAAACAGAGCAAAACTCACTTAACAAACATCTCTCACTTGACATAAATTTTGGGCTCAGAAGTTGAGGACTGCCTGTCTGTATGCATTATTATGAGTAATGTTATGTTTTAGGAGGAAAATGTCCTTTTGTAAAGGCATTCAAGAGCCGTGGTGGCGCAGTGGTTAGAATGCAAGATTGCAGGCTCATTCTGCTGACTGCCAGCAGTTCAATCCTGACTGTTTCAAGGTTAACTGAGTCTTCCATCCTTCCGAGGTCGATAAAATGAGGACCCAAATTGTTGGGGACAAGATGCTGATTCTGTAAACTGCTTAGAGAGGTGCTATAAAGTACTGTGAAGTGGTATATAGAATAGAATAGAATAGAATAGAATTCTTTATTGGTCAAGTGTGATTAGACACACAAGGAATTTGTCTTGGTGTAAATACTCTCAGTGTACATAAAAGAAAAGTTACATTAGTCAAGAGTCAAGAATCATCAGGTACAACACTTAATAATAGTCATAGGGTAGAATAAGCAATCAAATCATACTAGGAAACAGTCAATATAAATTGTAAGGATACAAGCAACAAAGTTACAGTCATACAGTCACAAGTGGGAGGGAATGGGTGATAAGGAGTGATGAGAAGATTAACAGTAATAGTAGTGCAGACTTTGTAAATAGTTGGACAGTGTTGAGGGAATTATTTGTTTAGCACAGTGATGGCGTTTGGAGAAAAACTATTCTTGTGACTGTTCTGGGTGCAGTGCTCTATAGCGTCATTTTGAGGGTAGGAGTTGAAACAGTTTATGTCCAGGATATGAGGGGTCTGTAAATATTTTCATAGCCCTCTTTTTGACACGTGCAGTATATAAGTCTAAGTGCTATTGCTATTTATTTAGCTGTGCTTCTTGTGATCAGCGTGTTTTATTTAGAGAAATAAGTTCCATCAGTCTTCAAAGAGGTTTATTTTGTGTGATTTTATATTTTGTTTATATAGCGTGATTAGGATTGGAATGTACAGTTTAGACTGAGATTTCAGAACAATAGAAGAGAAATAGGCAGAAGGTAGAAAAGTTAAGAAAAGAAAACATTCTTATCAGTGACTGTGTTGGATCCATATGTGTGTTTGTCTGCTAGAAAAGTTTCCTTGGTGTATAAGGTCTTATTCAACTGCAGCCCTTTTGGCTAGATAATTTCTGAGGGCTTCTCGATGAAGCCAAAGAGGAGTGTTCTGAAGACATATCACAAATACCTACAATCCATAGCAGATGGTGCAATACGGTGCCTCGAATTCATTGGTGTATCTTGATTACCTTGTTTCTGACTTCTTGTTCCCAAATTCTGAAGCTATGCTTCTTACTTAGAAAACGTTTGCACCAGCTGTTTCTTCAACTGTAATTAGGAAGTCTCTGATGGCTGTTTAATCCACAACAGTGGGAAAGTCCCAATGAAAGCAAACCCCATATTTGCTGTTGATATTAGTCCTAGCCACGATAAGACGTGCAGGAGATACCTTCTGGGAAATCTGAAAGCACGGGGTGAATTATAATTGGTCCTAGAAGTAACCAGGTTTCAAAAACTATGCAAAAATAAAAGATGCTGAGACCAGAGAAAGTGCGCAAAGAAAAGCAACAAAGATGATAAAGAGTATACAAGGCTAAATCGTACGACGAATGGTTGAGGAAACCAGGTGGGCCTAACCTATTGAAGGGAAGGGTCAGGGTTGGCAGGATAGCAGTCTTCCAGGACTTGAGAGGCTGTCACAAAGAAGAGGGTGGAGACTTAGAGTGGAACCTCTGGTCACAAATGCACCTGTTCACCAGTGGCGGATTAAGGTTCACTGGTGCCCTAAGCACTGACAAATCTTGGTGCTCCCCTCCTTTGTACATACTGTACAAATGAAGCCAAATGTTCTGACCCAGGCTTCATCAAACATCATTAAACATAAACTTGTTTTAAAAGCAAAACCTATTTTATTGCAACACTGGGAATTACTTTCACTCCCAGCCAGAACTAATCTTAAACAGTTCCCCAAGATAAGCACATGCCTTTCAGTGCTGTGGAATGCTGCCAAAAACAGAAGTATACGATTAATTATAACAGAAACCAACCAAAGTACCAGAAAAAACCAACCAGAGTTCACAGAGCTTAAAGGAGGACTCAAAATCTTTTGAACTACTTTGCTTCCTGCAAAGATTTCATCCTTGAGGTCTGACTTTTATCCCTTAGGGGAGGGGCAATCACCTCCAAACCTTCCTTCTGAGTCGCCCCCTTTATTTCAGCTGTTCTTGCCTTCTGGCAGCTCTGTGCACACACACACACTGGGAATAGGCTCCCCTTGTTCCTCTTCCTCACTGCTGCCAGACTCCGAAGGCTCCGAAAGCAGCACCCCACTCCCAGATGGTCCTGGCCCCATCCCTGCATCAGATGCAGGACCTTTGTCTGAGTCCTCTCCAGACTTCCTGACTGGTCCCCTTTCTTCCTCACTGTCCAACTCCACTGCCACCTGCAGCGACTACCGGCGAACCACAACAGCTATATTCTCAACTTTGTGGTGGCCCCTTGGGGGCTGGTCCCCGAAGCATGTGCTTAGTCTGCTTAATGGTTAATAAACTGCAGTTCATGACCAAATTGGGTGGTGAACAAAAAATCCACCCAATTTTTGAATCCGGTCACACTTCAAAAATCAAATTGGTGCAGAAAGATTCCCTTTCTGCGCCAATTTCCCCTTCGCTGCCTTTTTTTTTTTTTTTTTGTCTAGCATGTGCAGACATTTGTGCTTTTGGTCATGACCAAATTGGGTTGCGGCCAAACTCCTGGAATGGATTGTGGTTGCAACCCAAGGCTCTACTGTATTCTCCAAAGCACCAGACGAAAGGACAAAAATTAACAGGTTTAGAAGATAATTTAAAGATGGACCCAACCTGAAGGATGTTCTGACTGTGAGAACGGTTAATCCAAAGGTCTTCAAACTTGGAACTCTCAGAATTCCTGAGCCAACGTGACTGGAGGAGGAAGTCTTAAAGCTGTCAAGCCATCATGGAGCTGTGGGTGCTCCATCACTGTAGGTTTTCAAGAGACTGGACAACCGTTTGACTGGGATAGAATAAGCAAGGGGTGTCAAACTCAAGGCTCATGGGTCGGATGCAGCCGATGAGTTGCATAGACTTGGCACCCTGGAACGAGCAAAAGACCAGCCAGCAGTGCCTCTGCCAGTGAAAATAGAACTTCTATTTTCTCTAGCAGAGGGCTGCAGGAGGCCAGCACAGCTGAAAATGGGGCCTGGGGGAGCTGCTCTCAAACTAAAAACAAAACGAAAGGAGAAATGTTTCCCCTTTTGCATTTGAGCATGCAAGAAAGGACAGGAAAGGAGAAAAGGAAAAGAGGAAAGACGAAGAAAAAGATGGGAAGAGAGCAAGGAAGGAAG